CACAGAATCATGGAACAGCTGAGGCTGGAAAGAACCTGTCAAGATCTATGCTGTCCTAGAATGACATACGTCTCTTCAGCCTACACAGCTGATGGGGAATGTAAAAGTGTTCAGAGAATCATAGATTGATGATGTGTGGTGCTAAGATGGAGTAAGTGTGCCATCCAGTTTGATAATAAGGACCAGAGCTGGCCCTAAGGAGTGGCAGATTCAAAGCAAGCAAAGGAGATTTTGAATTCCTTGCTCCTGGACGTTATGGATGTTGGATGCTCTCCAACATTTTCTTACAGTTTACTTCATTTTTGTGTAAGCTTCATAGGCCCTTAAGGGCTTGTAAGCACCAAGGTCTTGCCTTTGCCTCCAGAAGTCCCTGTACCTCTGAGAGTCAGAAGTGGAAAGAACATCCTCAAGAAGTGCTGCTACAAGCTTACACCACTTTGTAAAACACTTCCCAAGTGCCCACGTTGGGTAAGAATCAACTGGGCTAGAGGATCCTCACATCCAACCAGGTGCAAATCTGCTTGTGGCACTGAGCAACCACCACCCATTAGAAAGTCTGGGGAAAAGGTCTCTCAGTGGGAGCAAGGGAGTACTCAGAAATGCTTGTTTTAACTCACACTTCTTCATTCATAATCCTTCACTAAAGAAGCCACAGCAGGATGGGTAAGGAATTGAAGGGATCAGAATCTAACCCGTGGTACTTTGTATGGAAGAAGAAAATGGTGATGAATGCTAGCATTATTCTTGTATTACAACAGAGTTTTATTTTATATTGGTATCTGAATAGGATCTCTTCAGAAGAACCTGTACAGGTGTTGCTAAAGAACTGGGAAGCAGGCTTAAAACTCAGCATAATTAAGGCAGAGAGGTACATAGCCTCAAAGGAATTAATCAGCCCACTCAATTGTCAGCTCAGAGGAGCAGCACTGGCTCAAATCACTCCAGCAACCACGGAATGGGTGAAGTTGGAAAGTACCTCCAGAGATCATCTAGTACCACCCTCCCACTCAGAGCATGGCCAGCTAGACCTCAGAGCCATGTCCTGAGTTTCGAGGAGCCCCAAGGATGGAGACTCCACAGTCTTTTTGTGTAGCCCTTTCCTGTGTTTGACCACCTTCACAGTGAATAAATTTCTTCTTACATGTGATTTCCTGTATTTCTACTTGTTTACAAAGCCTCTTGCCCTTTCACTGAGCACAAATGAGAAAAGTCTGGTTCTGTCTTCATTCCCAACACTTCTTGTCCTTTTCCTGGGCACCAAGGAGAAAAGTCTGGCTCTGTTCTTACTCCTTTCCATTCAGCTGGACCCCTGCACGTCCTGGTGCATGGGGTTGTTCCTCCCTAGGGACAAGGAGACTTCACACTTCCCATTGATGAACTTCAGAGATTCCCATCATCCCATTTCTCCAGCATGTTGAGGTCTCTTTGAATGACAGCAGACTCATCTGATCTGTCAGCCACCCCTTCTGGTTTAGTATCGTCTGTAGACTGGGTGAGGGTGCAATTTTCCCATCATCTATCTCAATAATGAAGACGTTACATCAGTCTTGGACCCAGTAGTGACCTCTCTGCATGTCCCCTTCAGCAACATGCTGAAGACATCGGAGGTGGCAGCCCATCATTTCCCAGGCAGAGCAGTGCTCTATGTTTCAGGTGCTCCAACCACCTGCTGAGATGGCAAGACAGGAAATATGCAGTTTCTCCCTCATATTTGTTCCTTTAGAATCCCCAGAATTATCCACCTGGCTTTTTTAACTGTTGCTCCAAGTATCCTAGTGAGTTCTGCAGGAGGATTACTCTTGGGAAAACAGGTCTGGGAATATTTTTAAAGCACCATTCCTTCTTTCTGGCTTGAAAATGTCATCTGCTCCATGTGGTACTATTCTGACTTTTTCCCAGGAAACTGGAAGGAGGGCAGGAATAACTGATGCAGCTATCATCATTAAGGTCAGTTTCTTTATCCCCTCCTGTATTGACACATCCAGAAGAACAAAGTAGAGAGAACAAGCTGTTAAGTCTGGGACCCCAATTCTGAATTCCTTTCCAGTCAAAATCTCCTGGGCCAGACATTTCCAGCTCTAACTGACACTGTGGAAGCTGCCCCAGGCAGGAGGAACTGGCACGTTTCCTTGGCAGTTCTGCTGATAAAGAATAAATTAAATAAGATCAAAGTCTTTGATCAAACTTTTTAGGTGTGGTTCATTTACCTTCTTCCTCTACCACCTTATGATATAGCTGACAATGCACACAACTGCCTAATTCCTTCCACCATGGTGCAAACTAATGAATGGAGAGTGACAGAACAGAGAAAGATGTGCTTTCCATACTTTTTTTTAAACACATCTTTTGAAGGAGTCCCATTAAAGTCTCAAATCAAGTTTCTCCAGTGTCTTCCTTCCCTTCTGGAATGTAGAGTTGTGTTCCAATGCCCTCTAGTGTGTCAAGTTAAATTTGCCTCTGATTATCTCAAGCTATTGGCCATTAACAGCTATCTCCAAGCATATGAATCTGAGCTTTTCTGGCTACCTTGATGGATATATTCCTTCAGATAAGGGACCAGAACTTTGCACAGCCTGATGTGGTAGCTCTGGAGCCTAAGCCTTCTTCCCCTGCCAACAGTTAGAGACAGGCTCTTTGTGCCCTGTAGTTTCTTTTAAAGTTGATCCCCTTCATCATTATCATAAGTGTGCAAACAGGTAGAGCTGACACCCCACAAACATCTAATTAGTCCCTCTGTGGACTACCTGCTGGTGCTACTGAACGTTTTATTGTAACCTTCCCCTAGCCCCCACACTGTGGCTAAAAAGGAAATTCTAGACTTCTGACAAACAGCAATTTTCTCTTTTACAGTCAACATCCTTGATCCTGGTGACACCAATGCTTGCTATGAGCTATCCGTTTTCAAGAACCTTTAACAACTTATGTGGGAAAACAGGTATGTGGCAATAGATCCCCCCTACAGAAGCACAGACAAGGTTTTCCCTGTGTTCTCACTCTCAGGGTCTGTCTGTCCTGATTTCTATCGACCTATTTGTTTATCCATCCATCCATAGATGGTGTTTAATTGTCTAATACAAAGGAACTGGGAAAAGTCATTGAAATCACAAGTGTAATTGTTTGTAGCATAGTATAACCAACACAGAATTGTCTAACACTAAAACAAACATTGGATGGTGCCATGTTTCCCAAATTCTAAAACCTACTAACTGAGCTTTGCTTTGAGCTTAATGATATCATGACATAGTGCTCCTCAGTTAATTTACTGGTCACACACTCTGTATCTATAGCTGTATCTATTCAAAGTTTCTCTGGCTGTTGTTTTATGGACATCACCATTTCAGTTATGACTTTATTTTGCAAGAAGCATTGCTGAAAATATCCACAATTTCACTCCTAAGTGTGTAATCTTTGCACACAGCCTTTGCTCAGAGAAGATGGTGACATCTTGTCAAAGTGGGATATGAAGGAGTTTAATGTAGGCAAGCAACTGCTTTTTAAGAGTCTGTTTATTAGCCAGATAATGGAACAAGGAGTTGGTCTCTGACCCAGTAAGGTTACATGGCTACACTAACCAGATACGAAAACATCCCACCATGAGAATGAGACTTGCCCACAACTGGCAACCATGCTGCTGCCCACTGGAACTCCCATGTCATGGACACTCTCTTCTGCTTACTAGTCTTGAGCTCTGTGCACCTGGGTCTTAGTTTAGAGTCTCATGGTCACAACTGGAGGGAGCTGGGATTCATCTCAAGACCATGTGTTCTAGACGCAACCCCATCTCAAGAAGTGCCACTAAGTCTTTCCATCTGTGTGAGTAAATTACTACCCTATGGTATGACCATTAGGGCAAGCTGACATATCTTGGCTGTGCCACCAAACACAGCCCACATTGCCCACCAAGGTGGGCAATCAACTTCTGTGGTTGCTGCTATTGCTGTAATCCAGCTAGTACCAGGGCTGCAGATCAAATCAAAACCACTTGTGTCATCAGCACAGGTCTAACTGTCCTTATTTTGCAATGCCAATATGTCCCAGGGTATCTGTCCTTAAGTCTAACCAATATGCTTTTTTTTTCTTCTTTTTTTTCAGGAAAATACAGAGTATCTTCTTCAGAGCCATCCACCTCTTCTGAAAACACTTCCAAATCATATTCTTTGCTTAATTGAGGCACTGCAAATGCTAAATCACATAACTCAGGAAGGACCTCTACCCTTTCCAAGACACACAAAAAGTTCCTGTGAGTCAACAAGAAGTGGACTGCTTCATTTTGACTAAGCTGTGCCTTGGTGTATTCTTCTGGAATAATCATTTCTGGTTGATGTGTAAGGCAGGGTAGCTTTCAGAGGTGGAATTTTACACTGAGCTGCCAATCCCAGAAGAGATAAAAAGTTGTTTCAAGCTTGGACGGATTTGAAGGCCTTCAAGTGCTGGAAAAGACATTGGGAGTAAAGACTTCTCAGCTTTTAAGAGGGTGCTTAGCACTGAGCAGTACTGAGCCATGAACTGCTGTCCTATGCACAGCTGTTGTCCAGTGGTTTTAGTATTTCTCTTATCAACCTTCTGAATGATTCCAAAGGCCTGTGTAGATACACGAGTACCTCGTAGCTTCTCTCCTGCCCTCGTATTAATGTCTGGAAAGGCCATGGGGTATTCTCCTACTCTTCTCCACTTTCTATTTAAGACTTTGGAATCAAAGAGTCACAACTGAGAAGGTCCATTTTGGATCTTCATTTCTGACTTAGATAAAATGAAGATCGTGATGATTCCTGCATGGTCTTCTTTCAGATGGAATGTACTGAAAGCTCCGTGTGGCACTTTTTTTGTGGAAGAAAAGGAAGCTTTATATCCTCAACTATAATTGTCCTTCCCTTGATATGCGACGTGGTAAGACAGAGATGGTTGCTGTCCTCCACCACAAAGGGGTTTGCATTTATTTAATGCATGGCAATGTTAAGTATGCAAGGAGTCTCTTGTGTAAAGTCTGGACGTTTGGGTCTCCTCTCAGAGGAGAATTGAATTTGAAGGGCTCAGAGAACCAACTCTCTAGAGCAGTGAATATAAACCACCGTGTGCATATGCAATCCTCTCTTTTCTTCATGCTCTGGTCCAGTGAACATGTCCCGTGCAGCTGACCTCTGTAGCCTGCAAGGTGGATTTGCTATTGAGGCAGAGGAAGAGCACTACTTTCCACTTGTGCAATACTGCAGCTCCCTGACCTGCATTTGTTGGGGCTGTAGGATGTCCAGAAGCTCTGCTGGAAATGATACCACAGCCAGGTCTTTATACAGATCCTGGACAAGTGATTGAATCCCACTGAAATAACTGTCCCAGGAAGTAAAAGTGTGCTAAAAACCAGCCCATCAGTTCTGAGTGTATTTAGTCCTGCTCCTGGTTTCAAGCCACTGTTATTGTCTCATCCATCACAGATACCCCTTACTGCTGGATGAAGTCTCTGCCTTCAGCTCCTTCAGCTCAGCAGTGAACCATTCAATATGTCTTCCTATTGTGATGCCAATATTTATTCCTCCAATATGGGGGGGAAAAAAAATGCATGTGAGAAAGAAAAGAGAAAAGACAGTAAGGAGAAGATTATAAATACATTTTCTTAGCCTTTTTCACTTATTCTGTCAAAAAGATTCATAACTAAGCAATATAGCAGTAGGATAATTAAAAGGCCGTTCTTCTGGAATGTCTTCACAAACCCCTGTTTCTGGCATACTGCTAAAATAAAAGTCAGCATGAACAGTTACAAAAGATTCTATTTTTGTTTTCACCCCAGTGAGTTTTCCCCCCTGCTATCCTGACTCAGATTTCTTTCTTCTTTATGTGCAAAACTAGAGCAAATGAGGCACGTATCAAAATACTTCAGCTAAGAGAGGAATCATTGAAAGGATCATTGTTTTAACAAGGACCACTGACTTGCCTTCCAGATTTTCTACAACCACCTTCATTTTTCTTCCAAAGTCAGCTATCCTCAGGCAAAACTTAATTAAAAAAAAAACCAAAATAAATATTATCTCATGTTCTTGCAGCCTTTTTACAATTAAGATTGCATTGTTTCTCTACCATTTTGTAAAACACAATTTGTGAATTATTTTTGTTACATTCACATTTTCAGCAGACTTCTTAGACTCATCAAAAAAAAGTTTTTTTTCCAGTTTTATGCTCCCCTGCCCCAGGTCACCTCTCAGGAGCAGCTCAGGATCTGGCCATTTTCAGCTCTGACCTCTTATCACAAAAGCCAGATTGAGGGGTTAAAAAGTCTTAGAGATTTCCACTTTAGCTGTCAGAAAAAAACCCACAAAATTAAAGCAGCCTAGGGCCTGGAAACTTCTTTGGTTGAGGTAGGTAGCTGTGTTAGAATAACCTTATGTTTCCCTTTAAATTCTACAACCTGTCAGTTGAATTTTGAGGAAAAGTGTTATGATTCTCTTCTAATTTGTTTACTACCCTTTGTAAGGAGTTGAGCTTTTGTCAGCATTAGAAACCTAAACCAGAAACAGGTCACTGAAAAGAAAATAGAATTTCTTTTTTTCTTTTTTAGTACTCAGATCAGCTCTGACTGACCTGCCTTTGAAACACCTTAAACAAATGTGGATGCAAATTCATGGCATTTATAGAGCTGGATTTTATGGTATGTTTCCAGTTCATGGCCTCCATCTATGATGTTTCATAAACATATTTTGTGAAATTCTAGCTTCACTCATGATAATGGCAAAATTCCCTTGGATGTCAATGGAGCCAGGCAGTGACTACTTGACTTTTTTAAGTGCTTGTGGATTAGTTTTTCAGCCCTTCTCTGCCCTATAGAATTTCTATTGTCATAGTTCTGTTGGTAAAATCTCTTACTGCAAGTAGAGTGCAAATGTAGTCTGCTGACCACAAAAGTGTTTTGTGGGTGTACTTAAACTGTCTTCCTGAAAGTCAAAACCAAATCCAATTAGAACTTCCTTCTGGCAACACAGGGATGTTCACATCAACAATTTTGCTGGCCTAAATCTGCAGTTTGAAAAGGAAGCATGTGAGGTTTTCATATAAAGCAAATGTAGTTATGTCAGGGCAACTTCATAGGATGGGCATGTCCCACTTGTGGGGCTTATGAAATACCCACATGTTAAAATTAGCTATTATGGAAAAAGTTATACACAGTTAGGAGAGGAAAAGATCTTCATTACTTCTGTATGTGTTATTGGACCACTCAGAGGCTCTAATTTTGTTCTAGGACCCCACACTGGCAAAATTTCCTAGTACAAAAGCTGCACAAAACATCAATGTATACATGTGTCAGTGCAGAAGAGGAGGATTCAGACACAGTATGAGCATACATGAAGAATATTGACACAGCATCAACACTAAAGCTTTTTTTGTTTGTTTAGAAAAAATTAAAGAGCTTTAAGCAAGGACTCAGAAGAGGACTAGTGACTGTCACAGCTAAGAAGTCTTTCCCAAGCATGAAGGGTCCCTTGAAAGCAAGTGCAAAAATGGTTTTGCTTGAAAATATAACAGGCAGCCATAAAGGTTAACACCACAGGTCAATCAGATCTAGAAGCTGATGTCTTGATAAAAGATAGGTGGGAGAAAGCCATGAATGGTCTTGGAAATGAAGTCCCTTTTGTTTGGGAGGTACAAGAGAAGAGAAGTAGGATGTCAGGAAATTCTGGTGAGTAGTGTAATGGATGGTGGACATTCACAAGGGCACAAACAGAGCATTTCAGCTCTCACTCGCTCATGACTATGACATCATACAAAAAAAATGATCACAAGTGGGAATAACAAGCTCAAACACAGTCCAAAACTAAATATCATTTAGTGAACATAAAGTCTAAAGCACCTGCAATCTAAATTATGTTTTCTTCCTTTTTATGGCAGTTGATATTCACCTTCATAATAAGGTGCAGCTAGTCCTGTGGTCTTTAGGCTGTAACAGAATTCCTACATATAACAAGAGATGTAAAAGCATCTAAAAACATAAAGAACAAGGAAAATTTAAAACATGCTTAGTTAGGCTTACCAAAAAAGAGATTATTTATGACTTTGTGGTGCTACTGAAATGTGTGTTTAGAAAAATATGCATGCTGAGCAAGCCTTCTCCTAGTACACCATTCAGGATGCACAGGTCTACAGATCCAAGCCTTGATCTGGAAAAGGTCATTTTGTCCCACCAAATATGGTGTTAATTATGAGTGATGGGTTCCTCACTCAAATCCCTCTTACCAAGTGAGAAATGAGATCTGGAAAAGAGATAGTGGAACCAAAAGCACTTTTTTGCAGAGAATAGTGGGTAAATATTTGTTCTGCTCACTCCTGCTAAGCTCCACTGTATTTAGTTTTAATTCACCACTATATACCTGAACTGCAACAGTTTAAACTGTGTTTTTCATAAACAGATAGAAACACAGTTTCAGTACTCTAGCCCAGGTGAACTCTCCTAAGATGTGTTCCAAGAGAAGACCAGTTTTTTACTGAGTCTCAACTCTGACTGATACAGAAAGCAGCAACAGCACAAAGGTTTAGGGGGAAAGTGAAAAAGTGAGATGCACATGTAAGTATGCCCCAAACCTCATAGGTTTTTATGCAAATATTACTGTGTTAAAGCAGCAATTTCTTTTCAGAAAGATGCTCTGGTGTCTGCAGTGGTACAATCCCCCCTACTCCTGGGCTACTCAATACACAGAGTAACTCTTCTCCTGGACCCCATAGCAATGCAGTGGAAAAGTACAGCTTGTGAAAGGCTGTGCACCAGAGCATTAAGGCACCCCCTTAATGCTCCTGCCTCCTGCCTCCCCTATTCTCTGGGGACAATAACAATTCTCTCCTGCAGTGCACCAGAGCACAGAGGTGCCACTTCTGTGCAGCTGGCTCCTACTCCCCTCCTTGTTATCTTGAATGATCAGCCTACGCTGTTATAACCTGGTACACTTGTACTTGGGTTGTGGCCCAGAGGAGGGACACCAGACCCCAAGATCTGGTAAGTTCTGGGTATGCACAACTGGCAGAAATGTTCCAGGACCCTCAAGGTCTAGACATGCACAATCCAGAACATGCAACACCTGAGTTAGGCAAAATGCAAAGGTACCTGACCCAAGTCAGTTATCTCGGACCCTATAAACAGTGAACCAAACTGAGGCCCCTTGAGCTCTCCTGGATTGCAGTGGGCTGCATCCAG